TCCCTTTAGCCCCTTCCCCATTCCCCCTATTACTAACCTATATCTAATCTAATTAAATTCATCATCTTGTTATATACTGTCCACTATGAAAATGTATAACATCACAAGTGAAATGGTGCCTCAAAGCTGCAGCTTCATTGGAAGCCAACTTTTATTGAAAACAAGCTTATTTTACCTGGCATTTTAATTAAACATAATTTAATTTAATCACAGTAAATTCAAATACAAAAGATTCATTACAAATGACTATTACTTTACTTATCTAGTTATCTGAAATAATTGGCAAGGTTTTTAACACACTATTCTATTATTCTTACACTATGCTTACATACTGCATATAGACATATACTATCAACATGGTGTTTGTCTGTCAGGGCCTGAAATAACATTCCCAAAATTCCCGATCATGGTGATTGATCATGGTGATTGATCATGGTGATCGGCAGTCATGACTTTCGCTGCTTTTTTAGGTAGAAAATCCTGCTTTTCCGCTATCATAAGCAATTTCTTGCTGATTATTGATTGGTAATCAATTGTTATTTCAAGCCCTGGTCTGTTGAAAAATTTAACTGTTCAAGATGCAATGGACCCATCTCAAGCCAATGAGATCAGACCGATATTTGGCATCAGCTTTTGTCTACAAAGCCCCAATGTTTGGGGAGGGGGGAGATTATGAGAATTAAGGTGGTGATCTTGAAAGGCTAAGTTTGGTTGATGATGAAGGAAGTTTTTCTCATGCCCCGGGAAGTTTTTTCTCATGTCAGTGTTGTATCCAAGCTAGTGAGGTTTTTGATATTGGAGGCGAGAGTGGTCTTTTTGCAAGCCGATATATTTAACTTTAGCCTCATGTTCCAGAAAATTTATTAATAAAGTTTCCTACAGTATGTTAGGAATAATATCCTGGTGAATTTGCATCATGACCAAGCCAAGTCATTTAATTTAATTAGTCTTCAAACATAGTGCTTCTTCACTTATACTGTATAAAAAGTGACCTGCTGTATAGACCTTTCACACTTGCACTGTAAACATTTAAACTATCAAGGTCAAATTTATAGGTCATTGGTACCTGTCAATGCTTTAGGATCGAAACAGAGCTATACAGGTAATTGCCAATTGCATTAGGTCTAAAAATATAACCAAAGATTATATTATTATCTTTATGACTTTATAAAGTACATTGGTAGAGCTATTATCAGTCAATCAATACTCTATAAAGCATGTACACAATAAATATTTTTTATCCAACATGATCAAATATTTGTAATCAAGTTTCTGCCACTTGAGGTGTTTTAATTTTATACACATATAAATGAATATGTATGCAGTATATGAAACTTTGGACCTATAACCTCGCACAATTATGCAAATCTTACGTTCAATTCAACGATTTATTGTTCAAAATTCAAACCACTTTACCTTATTGCCATACACCCCTTATTACTCTCTTTGAAAATATAAACGACGAGAAATCAACACATCATAGTTTCGGCCAAGACAATTTTCTTGCATCCATCGAATTTATCAGCTTGAAATATTCTCGACAGAACACCAGAAAGCATCCCTTATCGTAACAAATAACGATATAACCCTTTCGAAATCTTTATTTCGAAAATAGTTCAACAAATATACTAAGAAGATTAAGCGAAATAATTTGCTTGTAAAATTGTACAGAGCTGCAACAGAGCTACCAAGTGCACAATGCTTCCAAATTGAAGATTAGAAGGCCAATCAGAGGAAATGTTCTTTAACTCTTTTGCGCAAATTGTCCAATCAGAAGCTGCTATCTATTTGCAAGATTAGTCAAAATAGTCAAAATTGCGCAATCGTTAGTCAAAATAGGTCTGACCAATCAACATGCCTGTAATGTGTAATCTGAGCAAATTTGACCAATCAAATCACATGAACTAAAATGCAGAATAGTCAATTTTCATTTCAATACCGCTTATTTGACTTATCGTTTGACTAATCAATTGCTGGCTCAATGTGCAAAAACTGATCGAAGTTTATATGCTGGAGTCTGATGTAGTTTTGATTGCATGATCAGAAATGAAGAGAAGCGTTTGCGCTGGGAAAAAATTCAAAAACCTTAGTCCAATTTTTTTTTACGTTAGTCGCGCGACTAATCTGACTACCCCTAGATCCGCCCCTGCCCTGTGCATTTTCGTGCAATATTGACCGAGACAGCTGCGTTTAGACTTGAGTAACCATTTTTAAAAGTGTCGAGAATTAGCCAAAAACGGCCTATCAAATATTAATACAGAAATAACCTGTGTTTAGACACACTATAGTCAGAAAGTACACGTTCGTTTTCAGAGACCTGTCCAACGCCGCCGGTATAACCTCACGAGCATTATTTACCTTTGCATTATTCTAAACATATGGAAACTCTTTGGTCCTTCGTTAAACGAGGCGTATTTATCAAAAGGACACGCGAAGTTTCTTTCTTGGAATATTAGAATTTGATTCCCCAGGGTCATTGAATATTTAGAATAAATATTTTAATCAAAACCGCTTCATAAGTTAATTTTCATGCATTCCCAATCCCAAAGACCTTAAAACAAAAACAAAAGAGCACATCCATCCACTAAACATTTTTAATTTAAACTTCACTTCATTGAAAAACTACGACTGTTTATACGAGTCGTTCGCGACTTATTTAAGCCGCGGCTTATTTAGGCCGCGGCTTATTTTCGCTCGTATAAATGGCCCTATTGACAGTATATAGCGCTTGATCAATAACAATATTCAATAACTAAGTACGTCTTATGTAATAATTTAGTCTTACTGCATTTATATAAATGCAGTAAGATTTGCCCGTTTGACGTTGTCAGAGCCTGTGATCGATGACATTAGCTGCCATCGTTATTTAATATAAACATTAAAGAACCATCGTCTCTTTCCATGCCTGTTCTCCGAATCAAAATTTTCATTTTACAGTTACAACAATATCGCAATATAAGATGGGAGTTGTTTATACTTATATGACCCATTATAGGTAGTATAAAATGTGTAAGCTAACTTATATCAAAACGATCATGATCACAGGCGCTTTTTTATATTCTGTATCACTCTGTTTCTTTGTTAGATAATATAAGCACAAAAACAAGGTTAAAATTGACTGCATCTTTGACTTTGATCGACCCGTTCTATACACGACATCGTACTGCGACTCCTCTGACACCGCCATATTAAAATTGGCGCAGTGTAGAGCACGTGTGTTGTTTCATTTGATTTTGTTGCACGGAGGGCGAGAAAGTACCTACACATATTAGCCATTCATATCTTAAAATTGATATTTATTTTATGATTGTTTCTCTAAATGCTAGATAATGTAAATCAGAAAAACATCTGTCGTTGTGAATAAAATATAAAATCCTATTTGAAAAAGTTTTAATATATATGCTGGCCGAACGTTGCAAAGCTACAGAAATAATTTGCAAGCGCTCCCCCCGGATTGAATTGTTTACACTATACATCCATCGATCGATAGATCGATCCATTGTTGAGTCACGTAATGACGTAATGCCTTGCACCCCATCACAATAGTACAAAATTGACTTCGTCAACTTTGCGCTAAAAAATGGTATAAGTATCTCAAACTCATTAACAATTCATGAGTAAATTAGCCAACCATATTGCTTTATTTTGCTCACATGATAGTGCTTGATACCTGGTGAACATTTTGAAAGCCGGGGAGGGTTTTGATATCAGCAGGGAAGACCGGGGCTGAATGAATATATGATTGTTTTTGAATGAATATATAATGATTAATTCAGTCCAAGGACTGGATCAAAATTAATTCAGTCCAAGGAATGGATCAAAATTAATACAATCCTATAGGACTTGATCAAAGTTAATCGATTGAGTGTAGATTAAAGTTTTCTGACATATACTACATGAAAATGAAAATTAAACAACTACTGTATTGCAATCAATAACTACAAAACAAATATTCTAATATTAATAGTACAATAGTCAATACGGCATTTATTGACGTCAAATAGAGTAATACATTGCAAACACACAAGTTAAACATGCGCCTTCTCGCCTATGATTACCATGCAAGTAGTTAACTTCCAGGCAGTAGGCCATACACTTTATCTTTCGTTTTCAAGTCTTGTAGTTACAATGAAATTAAACCGCTTTGTATTGGTTAATTGTCACATTGCAGTTCCCAGTAATTTGAATTATACGTTCGGTAATTCGCAGATTGTGCGACGTTATTACCTGAACACAATTGCTCCATTTGCTCCTCGCTCAAGCCACCCAATAAAGAATCAAATTCATCGAAATTTAGCAGAGATGCTTCTGAGTCATTTCTCACACTCCTGAAGGCACTAGTGCCTTTTAAATCGCCTTGTTCTCAATTATAATTTACACCCGTAATACCCTGTTCTGACTGACCAGGTGGATTTAAAATATTAGAAACTTTTGGCTTCTGGTCTTCGCAGCTCTTTTCATATCCCAAAAGTGCATCACTTACATGACCACTTCGATTCTTTATAAGTTTTTCTTCTACACTAGCATTGAAAAGCTTAGATACACATGTCACACGAAGGCTCGTTCACCTTATTGTAGCGCAGAGACATGGAAGAATATTGTTTAAGGAATGAATCCCAACGACGCAATTTTTAAATTCAAATCTTTTCGGTTCCTCAAAAGCTTGAAAATAGAATCCATTTGCCTTAACGTTCAGCCGAAGCTTGTTAACTAGCTCAAAGTAGCGATTATACATCTTAATTAAACAACGCTCATGACTATCATTTTCATTATTGTGACAAAAGTGCTTAATTAACGATTCTACCTTTTTTCATATCGGCTATACCCCCGTGAAACGTTTTAAAATTATTTTCGCGGTAAACTATCGTTGTATTATTTTCTATTGTAATATCGTCAAGCCGTTGTGAAAAATAAACTGTATATAGCAAAGTCTTAGCTGTTTTGTCGCCCACCACTTCTGCTTGCCACATTTGTTCTTCCTCTCCATCCGTCACAGGTTCCTACTCAGCTTTTGTATTCGTTACCCCAGTGGCAGGAACGTCTTTCATTTCGGCATCAACAATCCGTCTCAATCCGGCAAAGCTGGAAGCAAAAATGAGAACTATAATTTATATATCACTTAAACCAATAAAAAAAAAATCGAATGTACAATTAAATATTTCATAATTATATGGATGCTATTGCAGTTTAGTTTACATACCACATGTTAGATTTGTCAAACATATTAACATCATTGCGGTTCTTGCACTCAAGATGCCTTTTCAGACCACTGACGATTTGGTATAGCGATCTTCCTGGATAACGTTCACCTTTCGTGTTTGAGACATCTTGCACAAACATCCCAATCCAAAAATCTAAGGACCCAGGCGTCATTTCTTCCCAATTTTCGACATCTAGATCCTGAATGTCGTCTAACGATACGTTTAAGCTCGTTTGTTCTAATGCAGCACAATGGCTTGCCCAAATACGTATCCATTCTGTGAACATATTTACTGCCCACTTATTCTTGCATCAAGTTGAGAGCGGTACTGCATTTAGCATTTCTTTTTCTTCCCCGCAGCTTCGATTTTTGAAAACGTTTAACAGGATATTTCTCAACATTTTCTCGAAGCAATCATGAACAAGTCCTCAGTAGCATGCAACCATAGATATCTTATATACACTAGATAGTGCATCTAATTATTCTGCAATTCAAAAATTGAAGCCGTGATTGCAGACTCAGGATATTGTCATAACGTGGAATGTCTACATGTTTATCTTGGAAAGACACTACTTCACGTAATATTTCAAATCCGACCATGATGACTGGACTAGATTTCAAGTCCTTGCAATATGATCCAGTCCTCGGCTTCGCCTAAAACTATGATTATTCCCATCATCCGCCGATATTGCACATTTGACTATTGTCTCAGTGACAACTTCAATTGAAATAACTTTATTTTGTATCTTGCTTGTTTGGGTTATAGAGACCTCTAGCATATATGCTACTCGCACTAGTTGTAATCAAAGACTAATTTATTGATAGAATTAAGTAAATATATATACAAGCATTGACAGGCAATTAGGATATATGATATGGGTGTGTGTGTGAAAGGTTAAGCCTGGAATGAATTAAGTACAGGATACAACATTCCTCCCCTGTTTAGTAACTTGCTAGGTTGAACTATATATATTTGATTCCTATTGCTGATTGTTCGTAATTTGAATTTCGTACCATTGTTCTTGCTAAATTAACTAAATTATCTATGTGCTTAATAATGTCAGATTCTCTTAGCTTAGGTGTCCATTATTCAATATCTAAGGCGATCTGGGACGGTTTTCTCTCGTGTGGATCTGCGGAGCGGGGTTGGGTCTGGTTGGATGATGGGAATGTTTGGGTTGCTGTCTGGTGGGGTTTCTTCAGTGGTGCTTTGTGGTGGTTGGGATTCTGCAACGAAATCCTCGTCTTCTACGTTGTTCGGTTCTGATGTGGTCCAATATTTCTTGACATGAGAAGAGTTTCGTCGGTGCTGTTTACCATGGAGATCTGTTAACACGATCTGTGTTCCGTTGATCTTCGTGATTGTCATCGGATCTTTGCAAAACTTTGTCGAATACTTGTTTTTTCTCTTCTGTTTGACCAGAACTTTATCTCCTACGATCAATTTTCGTTCCGCTGCATGACGTTTCTTGTCGGTGTATGCTTTCGCTTTGGACTTCTCGTTATCGTCTTTTCTTCGCACTTCCTCGTGCCAATCTGTTGGTTGGTCCACCGTGGAAATTGCTGGGATCTTGGTTCGAAGTTCCCTCTTCATGAGTAGTTTTGCTGGGGTCTGTCCAGTGATTCGGTGGGGTGTGGTTCGATAGTGGAGAAGTAGGTTTGGTAGTGATTCTCTCCAGTCCTTTTGCTCTGCTTGTGCTGTGAGGACATGTTTCTTGATGACTTCGTTGAATCGTTCAACTTGACCATTTGCCTGTGGCCAGTATTCGGTCACGGTTTTGTGCTGGACTCCCCAGGACTGTAGGGTCGTTTTGAATTGTGTAGAGGTAAAGTAGGAGGCGTTGTCCGACTTCAGGACTGTGGGATAGCCATGTTGGGCGAAGATGGAATTGAGCCACTTCAGAATTGTAGCGGAGGTAACGGTTTTGAGGGTCTTGGCTTCGGGCCATCTGGAGTAGTAGTCTGTGAGAACAACAATGTACTCACCAGTCGCGAATGGTCCACAGATGTCGATTGCTAACTCGGTCCAGGGTTCTTTGGGTAGCTCTGTTGGACGCATTGGTTCAGGGCGTG